ACACACACACACACACACACACACACACACACACACACACACACACACACACACACACACACACCCTATTAAGACTTCAGTTTGCTCTGTCTAAAGAATAAAAATAACAGAAAGCATACCTAAAAGTGCAACATTTTCTCAACAACAGTAGATACCTTAGGCTCTACAACTGAGCTTCAAAGTAGTGAAGCAGTACCTGCTGGGAGATGGAGTCTTTTGAGTGAAGAAAAAATAGGTCAGAGCAAATAGAGCTACAGGGAAGAGAAGCTGACTGGCTGTCTCTGCTGTGAGCATGAAATAAGATGGTGACAGAATAAATAACCGTCTGGCATGACTACCAGAAGTAGACTGAAGAGTGTGCACATATAAAAGAGTAGATACTGAGAGAGAGAGAGAGGCTGTTTTGATTATTTAAAAGGCTTCACCGTGAAGCGACACAGGCCGTGATTCTCTTTGCAGCCAATGTGACGAGTGAAGAAGTGCAGGAAGAAGACGGAACGTGAAGCAGACGCACTTGCAGCTGAAAAACATGCCACACCGGAGCAACGTGTGACACCCCTCGGTTTAGCATGCAGTTCCACGCCAGAGTACAGCTGAGCAGAGGAGGGGGGGAGGGGAGAGCTGCAAACGTCTGGAGCAAAACATACACACATGCGTCACCCTCCCTCCGGCAAATAACGCCTCCGATTCACACCGTCATGACCGGACGACTGTGCACASTTTCTCATAAGAACCGGACAAACGGCATGCAGAAAAAAAAAAATCACGGATCCCTTCAGCGGACCGCCACAGAAACTTCATATCCATGTTGGARGGGACACGCACATGCCTATAAATTTGCACGAGCACACTTAACGGCGGCACACTCGGACGGCYCTCAAACTCTAACCCCAGAGTGTAGCTTCTAGCCGACACCGACAAACGCACCTACCCTCGTAATTGACAATCACAATGGCCAGCATATAGTCTTTCCCCAGCATCATAGTTAGCTCGCTGCCTCTCACACAGCAAAACCTGCTGCTGTAATCAAACAGAGAACCCCAGACAGACAGACAGAACGAGGGAGAGAGAGAGAGAGAGAGCAGAGGGGGGACATGGTGAGAGAGCACCCAGACACACTCTTTCTGAGAGAAACCCTGACATGAAAAGAGAGGCAACGAGAGGGAGAAACAGTTATTGTGTAACAGAGGAGCAGAGAGGACAGGGGAAGAAAAGAGAAACAGGCAGAGGGACAGACACAGAGAAAAGGAGGAGAGGCTGTGCATCCCCTGCAGCTGAGCACGGTTTGTTTTTGTTGCCTCCGTCGCCTTTAAATGGAGCAGCAACAGCTCGATCAAAGCCTCTATTAAAACAAAGATGCACCTGAGCATGAACGTGATAAATTAACAGATTAGAACAGGTGTGCTTAATGGTTTGTTTATCAGTTTTTGCACCGTTACACATTCCTTTAAGCCCGTTTTTGTTGTCCTGACAGCTGTCTTTCAAGTGACAACTAAAAAAGGACCAGATGGCAGGAGACGACTGTGCTACAAAGGATTTTATTTTAACAGAATAGGTGACAAGAAAATGACATAAAACTAAAGKCTTCTAATTTTGCGTTTATTAATATTCAGCATCCTCTGAGGTCTTTCTTTAAAAGGATGGTGATATTTTTCAGTTCTACATGCAAACTTTTTTGTCAGAATGACTGTTTATGATTGCATGGAGCAGAGTCGTGTTGAACCTTTAACCTCCAAACTCCYCAGTATAATCTAAGACACATCAGGGAAAACACAGCTCTGTCAGTGTCAGTTACAGCAGTGCAGCTCTTGTGGGGGGACCTTGATGTCATCAGAGTGTGTTCACAACCCTACAAGGCAATTTGTTGTGACTGCACAGGAATGCCTGCTMCTTGCATCTTCGAGCAAAAAATATTTTTCTCTAGATGCCGATCATCTGGAAAGTGATAATCCATAAGGACYCTGTTACCAGGAAAAACAACTGCTTTCGTGCTGACTGAAGTCCCACAACTAACGATGAACAAGGCCCACAGACAGACATAAGAAGAGGATTAATCTATGATTTACGATCTACCTTTTTTATTTTTTATTTTTTCACAAAATATTGTCTTGCTGACTTTTTCCAACATTAAGATCAACAGRGGTATATTTAAAATTTCAGGCTTAATGAGTAAAATATCTAAATTTCRATGAATTTGTACCACCTACTACGTCCCAGTTTGACAGAACATTAAATAAGCAGTACAGCACCTAAAAACATTTACTGGAATTCATTTCAAAACTAAAAAAAAAAAAAAACAATAATAATAACTTTCAGACTTTCTGTTAATAAACTTCAACACTTTTTATATGAAAGTAAAAAAAGTATTCCTTTTGTAAAATTCACATGCTTATGTGAACCTAAAACTTACTTTAGATTTAGAAATCAACCCAAAACAGGAGTATACTCACAAAGTAAAATGTACAAAAATTATTGTAACAATTCTGATGCCTTCGTACAGCTGGTAACGTCTCAGGACGTCCTCAGGACACTGTGCCAAACCTTTAGACTGCCGACAGTTGTTCTTTTCTTTTTACACTATGTCAATTTTAATTTAAACTTCAATAAACGAGGGGGGTTYTATATCATTATATTAGTTTAAACMGGTCTCCAAACAATATTATTGTTTATTGCAATAATTTCTGAGACAATTTATCATCCGGTAAAATTTGTTATTGTGACAGGCCTAATATTGATAGAATCATAATTAGTAGCTGTTTGCAGTTCTTTTAATAAAATTTGATCTATTTTTACTGCTTAATCAGTAAATACTAATCTATTTTTTTTAAATCACACTATAGTATAAAGCTTTCAAAAAAATTMAATTTTAAAGCTTTAAAGAAAACCATAAGAATACACTGAGACTTAATCTACAGTCAATCAAATCTACTGTACACAGGTTTAAAACCAGCTTCTTGTCTGCAATTCTGCTTGTAGAGAATTAAAATGCGAGACAGATCAATGTGAGAGGCCAGTGAGTCACCAAAGAGCTAGAAGAGGAGCAGAAAAAGCAACATGAAGCAGCACACCTGCAGAAGACTGAAAGGTTTACAACAGAGACTGTCAGAGGTGAAGGTTAGTGCTCTGCAGGAGATGAAAGCACTTCAGACAGGTGACATCAAAGGGAAGATGTTTAGGAGCCTAATTCAACTAAAAATACTAAAATATAATGACTTAACAGGCCTTTAGCTGAGGTAGGTAATAAGCACATTTAAACCACCACAAAACAGACTCATCATTTTCTTTAGTCCGTTTGAAAGATTCACTGTTTCAATGTCCTGCAGTAAGAAATGATTTACGCAGCATAATCTATTCATAATAGATTCTGGGGGATTCAACTGACAAAAATATCAAATCCAAAGTATTTTTCTGCAAATACAAAAGTATAAAATCAGCTACATATGTTACATTACCCTGCGACTTGCCTCCATGCCCTGTTCGCATACAAACACACACAGGACAGASATGAAATGGCTATCTATAATCACCCATGAGGTTACAAGGCCACTTCCTGTCCCAGGGGAGTCTGAAAGATTTACTGTGAGCTGTAAGCGTTTGTTACTTTGTCCAAGCAACGCCTGAGTTAACGCAACACAATTCACACACACGAAAAACACACAGAGTCGCTTTAAATGGAAACATGACATTAGCTGTGAAGATGGTGAAACCACTAAACGGCACACAACAAAAAAGAAAAAAATCACAACACTTTCATGCCAAGAATTCCAAACAGCAGTCAATAACAAAAGCTATAAAAGTTTACTGCACCGGGCTGCTAGCAGCACGGGTTTGTGTACCTGTCTCTTCAGGTGAGTTGCTCTCCTGGGACAGAGTGGTCCAGCTCAGCTCTTCATCACTGGGGTTCAGATTCTGGATGCGGTTCAAAGCGCAGTCCGTCTTCGCTCCAGTCCTTCTGTCCTTCTTCGTCTCTGGAGAGGACGAGGAAGAGGAGGGGCAGGAGGGAACGGAGAGCAGGGGAGCGACCTCGGGGCTGACTTGCCGTGGTGGGGAAAGAGGAGGAGGCACCACGGGGCTCCTGCCCGACTGGAGGAGCTTCAGGTTGGAGTCAAGATCAGAGATGAGTTCGAGGACCGGAGGATCTTTGTGACTCTTAACGGGGGATTCACTTTTTAGCATCAGCAATGGTTTCTGTTCCTCCTCTTCCAGGTCCTCCTCCACCACCTCCTCCTCCTCCTCCTCAGTCTTTATCTTAGACATTATTTCTTTTTCAGACAGAATGCTGATGTCATCATTTTCTTCCGCCTCAGTGTTCAAGTCAAAGTCCAGATCTGCCATGTTGCTGTTGAGTGTGAGCTCCACGGTACAGTCCACATCTGATTCTGTTTTTGGTTCCGACTCTGAATCACTGCTAGCTTGTGGCTGCAGTTCAACATCTTCCTCTCGGTCATTGTTGGTCAAAGAGTGACTGTCATGTTCTTCCACTGCGTTGACATTGAGATCATCCGCTGCAGTCTCCTCATTGCACTCAAGATCCACTGGGTCTGGTCCGGTTGTGTTTTTGTTGTGGTCCTGACCAGCTTTACGGAGRTGGTTAACTCCGTTTTTGGTCAGTTTGGAATTGCTGGGGTTAGAGGACTGCGACGGGGAAAGTGATGGCGACGATGCAGGTGGCGGCGCCGCTTCACCGAGCCCCATGGCGGCCTGGATACTTGTGAGGGCATACTTTTTACGACACTTGGGGGGCGTGGCCGAGCCCTGTTTGGCGATGTTGCTGCTGAGTAGCTGGTTGTGTGAGGAGCGAAGGCTGAGGGAGGTGGGAGGCGTGGCAGCAGGGCCGTTGTGGTTTGTTACATCCATCGACATCATCGCTGCACAAGACGTGGGACCTGAAACAGCAGTGGAGATGAACGGGTTAAAATCCAAACATGCATTAAAGGTGTTGGACATTGAGCCTTAAAGTGCCTGTGACATGCATATCGTTAAAAAATAAATGAACAAAGGAAGACTAAAAAAACATTTTTATTTAAGAAACTTGGCATAAAACATGATTTTACCCATTTTATCACATAATTGGCCTATTTTCCTTTGAACGCAGCTCAGCAAAAGTGAAACAGGAAGTGACATCAAAGGGGAACTCGAGAAATAAAACTCTCTGGTCTTTGTTTTTTGAAACATTATTTGAACTCTGACTCGTCTTCATCTTGGATGGATATTCAAAATAATCTACATTCCCCTTTGACATCACTTCCTGTTACTTCACATGCAAACAGCTGTCCATCTCAGTAGCATGATTTTTTTGTAATGTTATCGATGTTATCTTTCCAAAAACACATAACGCATATTTATATAT